AACTTCTCGAGGTTGTCTTCTGCTGCAGCTCGGCATTCATCTCGGTATTGAGACTTGAAGGCACCGATAGTCCTTCCAAATTCTTCTGCGAACTTGTAATCGCGGCTCTGAAAGGGTGCATTGTCAGTATGTCTCTCATGCATCTCGTACAGTCAGAACTTACCTCATGATTATGTACTAGCACAAAGACAGACCAGGCCTCGAATTCTGTCTGGATTCCATGCTTGGCCATCAGTCGCCGCAAAGATTCATCGTACGACGCCTTGAGTCCCGCGGCTTTGGCTAGAGTCTCATCGCCGAGCTCAAAGGCCTCCAGGACCCGCTTATCGAATTGGTTTTCCCACTGAGGCTACAGAGATGAAGATGAGAAGTCAGCGTATGTCTCACATGCAATTCGTACGGCCATGACTTACCTTGAAGTCCGCCAGCTGCACTTGGTCGTAAAGGATGCCGAGGACCTTTCTTGAATGATAGATCTTGTTTTCTGGAAGGTGCTTCTTCTCCATGAAATGTGGGTACTTATGCGGTCTCAGTTCCCGCGCCATCTCGGCGGGCAAACCGCTCTTGGGAAAGTCGACGGCTTTAGAATGTAACTCCGCCAAAGCGAGGCACTTGTCATCGTTGATGCCATCGGCTTGTAGATCCGCGTGGGCCAGATGGGCATGTGCAATTTGGCCAAGAGTATCATTCTTCATGTAATTGACGAAGAACTCGCCAATGTGCGCGGCAGTAATCGGATCGTCGGTCTCAACCGGCTTTTCGGCTGTAAAGTCCATGGCAGGCAAGTTGATGGTTTCGGGTATCAGATCTGGATCCCACAACACCATATAGTCGTCCCCATCAAGGTCACCGCCAGAGCACATATTGGCGAGGTCTCTATCTCCGTTCTGTGGCAGTACTACAACGTTCTTAAGATGGTGTAATCCTGGCACGTCTACTGCGCGAACGACTCGAAGGTCTCCCGGGTGAAGTGATGGGTTTCGTGCCAGGACACACACTCCTTGGACGATTTTGTAGTGTCCTTTCCTGCTCGTATCATCGACTTGCAGGAAGATCTCGGGGAGAGTTGCAAGCTTTTCTTCATTCGTAGCATCAAGCTGGAGGTCGTTCATATGGCCTCGCAGTGTTGCTGTTTCGTCAACGCAGCCAAGCACGAATGCGCCGTCATCGATGGCTATCCGAGCCTTCTCCTTGAGGTTCTTGATAGTGCAAGCCCTCCATAGCTTGAGGAGTGACATGACAAATGGATCTTGAGACTTCATGAAGCCATCGAGGACCATCCCTGCGATCGTCAACGTGGTCTGGTTCATGTCGATGTGCTTTCGGAGCTTCTGCAAGGCAACGCCGTCGTCTACCATTGCGGTTTCATAATCGTTGATCATTTCCTGTTGTTTCTTGATCACCACGGAATCAGGTACGCCAAGGTACGACAAGACCACGATGATTTGACGGTTGAAGAATGGTGTCGCAAGCGAAGAAGATCGTATAATCTCCAGGCCAGTGTAGGGTGCCACGAATTTCATCTGGCTGGGTCTTATATGAACCTCAGGACCAGTGATCTTTGGATCCAGGGCAAGCACACCCTTGCAGCCGCCAAGGCGAAACTGGAATAAAGACGGGGGGTCATCGAAGGCGCGCGCAAGCCCAAGTTCCTGGGCAGCCATCTGGGCTAGGAATTGTGAGATCTTACCAACACCGTCTGTGAATGTATAGTCGTTACGTGTAATGTCGGGAATCGTTATAACTTTAACGTTATCCCGCATTGCGCGAGTGGTTGAGAAGCATTGACCGAGACGGGCACCGAATTTGGCGACGGTCTTGATGTGGTCGAAGTTGCCCAGTGAGATGCGGATGTCGTCGGCGGACTTGGAAGAAGTAGGCGCGTAGAAGTATGCTCCGTGTTCGCGGAACTGTGAGTTTCCGAACGCTAGGAACTCATAGTATCTTCCGGCAACGACGATGCCATACTTCATAGCTCGGCGTACCCTGTCGAATGCAGCTTCAGCCCTTCCGTTGGGCATATTGCGCAGTTGACCTTCTGTCTTCTCGTCGGAGAACTTGACTCGGATGAAACGATCGCTATCAGCAGCATGCTTGCGGATGATGCGGTTCGAGGTCTCCATGTTAGGAGATGATACATGCATCATGGTTGGGGTGATTACCACCGATCGCTGAAGGGTGCAGTAGCTAGGGACTTTCTTCGCAAGGTCCTTAACCCGAATGCCGAATATGTTCATTGGATCGTAGTAAACATGCTGTTTGTCGACGACTTTCTCCAGGATGTAGACGGCACGGCGAGGTTCCATCGCTGTGAGCTTCTCCAAGAAGTCGCTCGTGATGTTGTGTTCCTTCAAATAGCCGTTCGATAGACACGCCTCGAGTTGGTACCGGACGGGAAAGCTCAGATGAAACTGGCCAGCGAAGAGATCTTCGAATACCGAGCCCTTTGAGGGTGTCGACTCAAGATGTGGATGTGTGCCAGAAATCTCTTCCTGTAGAAGTGACCATAGAGGCGATGGGGCCATGTCTTGGATCGTATACTCGTTCAGGTCCTCAATGGCGACGCCATGGTCGGCCAGAGCATCGCTGAAGTCCTTGAACTTGGGCCCAGTCATCACTGTCGCGTCGAAGATCATGCGATAACTCGTCCATCGGCCTGAATTAGTTAGCTGAGTGAACCGTGATGAAAGCGTGTGTGCGACTTACCAATGTCAATGATAGCGGTATCCTTATGGTTCATCAACGGTGAGCCTTGGAGCTTGCTCTTGACAGTGTTGTTGATGATATCGGTCGCTCGGAACCAGGTGCTCCAGTCATACCACGCCTTCTCTTTTCTAGAAAATGTATAGAACTTCCTCCCGTCCTCCATGTTCTCACCCTCACGTCGCTGCATGTAAAATTGCGGCGGTGAGTTAAACGGGATGATCAAAGCTGGCTGATCAGTGGTTGTGTCGGTGACCTTGTATATGTGGGAGAGCAGGGCAATTGGCAAAGCAAAGCGAACCTTGTGCATCTCGTTATCGACATCGACCGAGAACTGAATGTCAAGCTCTTTGCGAATCAAGTTTAGCGTCATGTAGATACTACCCGGTGAACGCAAAGTATGCATGGAAATCATGGTCTTGTCCCCTACGTTGACGCCGAAGTCGAGCCCTTGTACAGGTAGGACGTTGAATTCATAGTATTCTTTTGCGGGATTGGCCGGGCTCGGAACGGTCCTGACTTGTGGAGAGAGAGTCTCAATTCCTAGGAGAGCACCGCCCATTCGTAGGTTCCGATGCGGAAAGGCATGGACGGGGGGAGGTCTATAAGAATGAGGTTAGAATGATAAAGTGTGGACGGAAGCAATACTCACCGAAATACCACGAAAGCAGAGTTGTCTCGGGTGCCAGTGACCATCTCAATCCTGAAGAGAGAACCAAACGACGACAATGCGTCGTATACGTCTTTCGTCCAGTAGCTCTTGGGTATACCTGACAACTTGATCTTAACCTCCTGGCGATGGGCCCAATTCTGGGCTTCATTCCTCAAGAGTGACCTCTGTGAACTAGGCTGACCAGCTGAGTGGTAGCGCGGACGATTACCTCCATATCGAGGAGACGCTTGAGTAGCCTGTCGTGGTGGGCTTATGATTGGTGATCTTGCCGGAGATGGTGTTGGAGTGGTACTAGCTCTCGCGATGTAGGTCTCGTTGATGTTGTTGCCGTTCAAGTCGAAAGAGGAGAGCTGTTTGACCGGGGTAACTGGTGGGTCTACGCGGGCTGGGACCTGCTCCATAGTTGTCGTGAGAGAGCGTGGAGCTTGAGAGGACTGAGATGCCGAAGCGGGCTTGAGAGTTGGTCGGTTGGGGTTGTACTGGCCGTTAGAGCTACCGGAACTGCCAGAGTATGTGCGATTGCCACCTCCACCACCACGATTTTCGCCACGACCACCGCGGTGATTACCGCGATACATGTTGCGGCTGCCGAAGGATTTCTCGCTATTGGAGCTGGTCTCAGATTTCTGCTCACTGTGCTGAACTGGTTCTCGGTTCAGCGTGTACGATCGTGATGATGTGGGGGTGCTGGTGTTGAAAGCAGGAGAAGTTGAGCCCATGGGATCTGGGTCATGAAGGTAGCGGTCCATGTTTGTTTGTGGACGTACTTGCCCTCACGCCAATCCTTGGGGAATGACGATAGGGTAGCGGTGGTGGCGCGGGGACGGCTGGCTAATCGGAGGTGACCGCTGCTTCGGGAAAGGGCAATGTAGCGGTGCCGAAGCGGCTGACCAGAGGCTCTGCTTGGATGTGCTGGCCGTACCTGTGTGGGGTGATTGGAATGGAAGGATGGAGGATGGAGAATTTTGTTTGCTCGATTTGGGCAGTCAAACAGCCGTTTGTCTAGAGGCGCTCTGGATTCGGCAGGAGCGAGTCGCGACACGCGTGCCTGATGTTTTGTGTGCTAACGTCGGGCTGAGAATCTGAAGCTGAACCTCGAAGCAGCCGAGAATAAGTTCTAGATAAACGAGATGGGTGTGGCAGCCTGTAGATGCAGGGAGGTAGATGGAAAGTAGAGGAGGACTGATCGTGTAAGGAAGGCGCGGGGTCTGCTCTTACTCGAATGCGTGCATGTGCTAAGATGGGAAGGTGCAAACGGAGAGCAGAGTAAGAAGATGGGAATTGTTGGCTGATGTGACGACGATCGACTAAGAGACGCTTGAAAGATGCAGGTAGCCGTGAGGTACTAAGAGCAAAGAAGACGTCAAATAGAGAGATTGAGAGGACACCTAGGTCCAGCGAATAGAAGAACGCTAGCCATGCGGTAAAACTAACAGCAGGTAAAGGTAGATTCGCGACATCAAGTAAGGATACGCTATTGGGTATCTTCAAATCATCAAGTCCCCCCTGCGCCATGCATGCAAGTACCCGTGCCAAATACGCAAAGCCTTCGTACGCCCGACTTGAAACAAACAGCAGCTATACTACCTTTCCCGAAATGCCATCTTAAATCATGCTTTCGTACTCACAACTCAGTCATAGTCTCGTCGCCTTCGTCCGGAATCCGGCCAGTGCCAGACATAAAGCCCGGGGTAAGTGGTGTGCCGGTCGTGAAATCATCGTCGATGTCAAAATCGACTTGCTCGATGTCCTGAAGGCTGCCTCTACGTTTCCTCACTGACTCAATCTCGGTCGCGGCGTCTTCTTCCTCGCCGCCGGGCAATGTGAACCCGACAGTCGTGTGGCGGCGGTTCGGCGAGACTGGTCTCAGAGCTGAACGCTTGGTCGGCGACAGCTGATGTGAGTGTGAGAGTGACTTGGATGCGATGCTGGGCTTCTGGTTATTTGGCGTTTGCATCGTTGGCACCTTGAAAGCTGGCCTTGGTTTGGCACGCTTTGGGTTACCCTGGGACGAATTCGAATCGGCTGATGAGGCGAAGGACGCATTTGTAAAGTTTCCTAGAGCTCTGCTAGGTAATACTTGGGTATTCACCGTGGCGACTGAAACATCCTCTTGGGTGTTGATGGCTGACTTACGTCGTCGGTGAGTTCGCGGCTCTCTTGTCGTTTGGGGCTGAGCAATCTCCTTGTAAGTTCGTGAGGCTGGCTTAGCAGGCAACAGATGCATCGCCATCATTTTGCGAGCCGTCCTGAATTCTTCAAGTTCTTCTTCTTGCTCTCTGCAAAACTCCTCGAGCTCTTGAATCCTCGCTTCGAGTGGTGGTACTGATGCTTGAAGATGCTGAAGATTGTTACGCGTCTTTCCGTGATCATGTCGTTCCTCTTGAGCGTTGCGCTGGGCATCTAGCAGCCGCGCTTCGAGCGTCTCGTATCGCTCTTCAGCCTTCATGGTGATAGCCTCCAGATCGTTGGCGTGCTTCACCGCAAGCTCTCTCATCGTTTCAGCCGATGATTCCTTGAACTCCTGGTAACTAGTCCGCGCACTATGAAGCTGTCGAATGGCATCCTCTAGTTCCGCTTCCTTACCTTCCAGATCTTGCTGGTATTCTGACGCTTGCGTCTCGAGTTGTGCGATCTTTTCGGCTTGACGGGCTGTATTCGCTCGCTCCCGTTCAAGCGTGTCCTCTGCTTCACGGCTGCGTTTCTGCTGCTCCTCAAACTGTGCGGTGAGGCTGCGATAGTCGGTCTCGTGCTGCATTTGAGATGCTTGCAGCTGGCTAATGGTACCATGCAGCTCCTCAACCTGTTCATCGCGGACGCGCTTGTCCTCCTCGTACTGGCGTATCGTCGAGCAGAGTTCATGCTCCTTTACGCTAGAACTTTCGTGAGCGGCCTTGAGAGTCTCGGTCGCGTTCCGCTCTGACACCTCCAGAGAGGTCTCCACTTCCTGTATCTTGGAGTACATCCGGCCCTTTTCTTCCAACAAGTCAGACTTCTCTTGCTCCAGACGCTTTTGCTCGTCTATGGAATCCTGCAATTCCTTCTCCAACCCCTCGACGTATTCCACAGATTCTTCTCTATCCTTGTGTAGAAAATCGTTTTGCTCGTTGAGATGGGCGATCTTCTCGTTTAGATGAGCGACTTGTTCCTGGAGTTTGGCGGACTTCTCTGTCTCCACACGTAGCGGCTCTTCGACTGTATTGCAGCGTGTCTCGAGATCACTGCATATTTGTGCCATAGAGCGCACAACAGCATCTCGCTGATGTTTGTTCTGGCTTTGTAGCTCCAATTCGAGGCGTTTGCGCCAATCCTGGAGATGTTGGCCCGTGTACTGCGTGCTCGCTTCTTGGAAGAGGGAGATTGAAGGCTGAGTGGGGCTTTTCGACGAGTGTGAGCAAGTATCTAGCGTGGGGGGAAGGTCTCGCTGTTTCTTGATAAGCGCAGCCACGAGGGTATGCGGTATCGTCGACTCTCCCGGTTGCGCCATAAGAACAATGGTAAGTAATGAAGCAATTGTGGCAGCGATCAATTGCCGACGGAATAATGCAGCATGTGTGCAGCAGCCGGGGCCTTCTTTCGTCATACCAGCACGAATGAGGTTCTGGATTTTCTCTTGCAAGGCCCTCGATGACAGTGCGCGCAGCACAGTGGTTCGTAAAGCAGCAGTCGCCATCGCGGCTGTGGCCAGCTCATCGATAGTGTCGATGGAGTTGGAAGTTTCGCGGGAGTCAGGCTGCGAAGCACATGCTGATAAAATGCCTGATAAGAGTGCCGCGACGGTGCTTTCCTGCATCTGCACCTGCCCTGATTAGTGAATCAGCCAGTACTACAGAATGAATTGCTTACTGCGTAGATCGGCAGTGAGACTGCAAGAAGCTCGGCAAAGCCTTCAGGCTCTGCCACGCGAGGGGCTTCCAATATGCATGCCTCGTAGCGTATGACGATACCTTGCGGCAAGCTCTGAGAACCTGAAAGTATGCCAAAGAATGACAGGGCCTCTAATTGGACGGATAGACTCGCACTGGAGTTTTGGATTTTGGATGCACACTTTTCGTACAGCATGGCATACTTCTTCTGAACTTGAGGCCAATTGTCCTTCACGTCTTGGCCGATGAATTGCATAGCCCTCGAGGCAATACGTAGGCCTTCGATTGCTTCATTTTCCTTGATTCCGCCTCGAAGAATCCACACTACGTTCAAACAAGTGAGCTCAATAGTCTTGTATAAGTAGCTTGTCGAGCCGAACAGCTTTTGGCCTGAAGGTGTTGCCCAATGTTGTCTTAGCCTTTCGGTGGATGTCGGCTCCTCGTCACCAGGCGGATTTTGCAGTCCGTCGACCCCCTCGGGATGTTCCGTGATGAGCACTATACCTTCTGCCCACAAAAACAGCAAAGAGGAATCGGCGACTTTCGGGGATCTGAGTATATTGCACAACTCTGTGTCGAACCGCTGCCTCAGATCTCTGGGAAGAAGGCTGTAAAGTCGACGACATGCACCGTTGAGCATACGGTACACTGACTTCAGGGTCTCGTAGTTTGGTTGCTGTGTGGCGTTTTCGAAGACATTAAGAAAGAAGTTTTGTGCTACGGCGGGTAATGGTATTGCCTCGGGCAGTGGGCGAGAGAGAAGAAGCACGCATAGCTCGGCAAGCTATATCATTGTTAGTAAGTGATATACCTTACAATTCTCGTACTCACATGTTCGAATTCGGACTTTGATGAATTTGCCCTCTTCAACAGAGAAGGGAGTAAGGACGGTTCTAGGACCAGTAGCTCATCTCGAAATTCTGGCGCATGACCTAGGAACACGAAGTCAGTTTGATTGCGTTCTTCTTATCAAGCCGAGACCGATCAACTGCTTACACAAGAGGTGCAACACACGTAGCGTGTATGCATTTAGAGACAGTGCATCGTGGACGATTCTGCCTAGTTTCCTCACCGCGCAGGGTGACCGGTCTTGGACGCATGATCGGATAGTCGGTACGTCGACGCGCGCCAAAATATCGGATAGGTTCTGTGGGATCTCGCGTCAGCTCATCTCATCAACGATGGGATGCTCGTGCAGCGAGTCATGTGCTCAAATACGGGAGTTGGCTAGTGGCACGACATGAGGATGCATTGGATGTTGGGGAAGATGAGGGGCAAATACGTACGGATAGCGAAGGGGGGTATGGACACTCGATGATCCTTGTCAGTTCCGACGTCAAATCTGCGCTGATATCCGCCATGTCTGCTGGATCGAGTTATGTTCGGAGTTGGGCCGAATGTTCGTTATGCGTGGACTTGTGACGCGAACTTGTTTGCTGTCGCGTTCCTCTGGCGACGGCCGAAAAGACGCGCCGGGATCGCCGACTTCCCCATTGGCATCAATGCACGCGACCATGCATCCTGCGCCAACATCTCACACTCCACTCCCTGCTCCTGCTCGCACTCCACATGTTTGCCTGTTGACGTCAGCCATCTATAGATCGTACAGCTGCTGGGCGCAGCATTGCTAGCCCGCAGGCATTGCGGGGCTCTTTCTATTCTCCGCTCACACGTTACCTCCCATTGGTGGTAATAGACTCTACGCGTCGTCTTTGCTTTTGGCAGTTCCTTCGCAGTCTCGAGCTTAATGGCGTTCTATTACATTGCTCATGGGAGCCGTATACGGTATCCCGCTTCAGTACTATATGGGAGTAGTCGTCTGCCTGGAACTGTAGCCGCTACCGCGGCATCCACCGGCCTCCTCCGGCTTTCTGGCTTCACCGACAAGCAGACGCCTGAAGATCGCGCGTGGGGTACGGCAAACGCTCATGTGCAGCTTGTTCCCCCACTCGCTCGATTGTCAGCCAGCATCTGAGCTGCACAGACGAGAGGAGCAAGTTTCGTGAGGTAATGGTATCACCGTCGTCCAATCGCCAAGGGCAAGTCTGCCGCTCAGCTTCTCCCCAAGCCTCCCAAGCTTCTGTTTTTGAGCCTCAGCCATGGGCATCAGACATCGAGGTAGAAGATTGTCCCTGACAGGCGCCTCTTCTGCCACTTGTCTCGCTCTCGAAAAGAAAACATACATGGCAGCAGCGTATCATGGTCGTCCGCAGAGTTCCAGATCCACATCTTCGGTCCTTGTCTGCAGCCGCTCGGGGCCCTAGCGAACGCCTCGTCACGCGACGGCATCTCGCTCGGAATGTCATCCAGCGTCACCTGTCGCCACGATGCGTCTCGAACCAACACATTTGCTTGTCGTTGCCCTGGTCTTCCCCGCAATTACCTTGCGTGTGTCCAAGCCCCTTGCAGGTGATCATGCACGACTTCATTTGATGCGTGAGCCGAAAAATTTGATACAGAAAATCGGGAATCTCGTCAGCCTCCCACGCTATCACTGGTCCATCCCACGACTTTTAGGACGTGTATTGCGACTTTACCTGTGCGCTGGCCAACGACGCTCAAAGCGATACCCGAAAGAACTATCGCGCCAACTGCGTTTAGACTGAAATAACCTCTCCCCGCTCTTACTGTGCTTGCCGTTCGGCTTCTAGATCCACAAAATGCGTAGGCCAGCCTTGCAACCATCTTCTCCTCCACTCTTCTGTCATACTAGTTCGCCAAATGCGCCCTGACCCATAGTCAGCGAAAGTGGATTCCACTTATAGCTCTTCCCAGCATCCCAACAACTGATTGCAACTTCATTTTCCCTTCTTCGTTGTCGATTTCGTCATGTTCCGCCAGCCAGCGGCGCGACTGAGGCAAATAACCTCACCCATCTTCAAGCGAGGTGGCGCTCGAGCACGCACTGGACGCGAGCAGACCTTCAAAGCCGAGCAACTTCAAAGGCCATTTTGGAACTCAGGAAGGGTCTTGCTATTTTCTGCAGTTACCGGAACAACCACATACTTCTACGGTGCCAATGACGAACCGCACAGGATTCAGATGCCATGGAAGAAGTCATCAGGGCCCCAATATGCGAACAAATACGAGATGGAGAGGGTAAGCTTGCAACCATAATGTTCCTTCGCATCCACCAGACACTTAGGTCAGTACAGGCGATTTTAGAGCTCAGGGATGTTCTTGGGGAAGACACCATTAGTACCGACGACGAGGATTTGCACCGACACGGATATTCGGAATGGTCGTCTATCAACATCGACCAACTTCCCGTTGCGGTGGCGTATCCGAAGTCGACTGAAGAATGTGCTACGATCGCCAAGGTCTGCTACAAGTACAAGATACCGATGAGTACGTTCAGAAAGATGCATACAGGAATGAGTGTTGACAGTGCGCAGTCCCATATTCTGGGGGATCAAGTTTGGAAGCCAACTTCTCGGCTCCATTCGGTGGCATGAGCATTGACTTCTCGTTCATGGATCAGATCCTGGCCTTGCACGAAGATGAGTGAGTTAATTATACGTTTAGCATGCAAGACTGGCGACGCTGACAGTGATGCGTAGTATGGACGTAGTGGTTCAGCCTTCTGTCCCATGGATGAGTCTCAATGATCAGATCAAAGACTCGGGGTTATTTTTCCCAGTCGACCCTGGCCCATCGGTACGTTGTCATGTGTTACACAACTTTGCAATCAACCCTCGGAAACCCCGATGCGGAACTCCGAATTCATTCTAACGGGCGTGGCAGGCCCGAATTGGAGGTATGGTGGGTACGAGCTGCAGGTAAGGTCTATGATGGTCAGTGACGTGGTCCAACAGCTGACCCTCCTAGTGGCACCAACGCAGTGCGATACGGCACGATGAAGGATTGGGTCATCAATCTGACTGTAGTCCTTGCCGATGGCACGATCATCAAGACCAGAAGAAGGCCCAGGTATGCAAATTGTTTCCGTGTCGGAATGTGCGATAGACTGACTATTTCCAGGAAGTCATCGGCCGGTTACAATCTTACCAACCTCTTCGTTGGCTCCGAAGGCACCCTGGGTATCGTGACTGAGATCACTTTGAAACTCGCAGTAGTACCACAAGAGACCAGCGTCGCAGTCGTCACCTTTCCCACGATACGAGATGCCGCTGCCGCTGCTTCCAAGGTTTTGCGCGCCGGAGTGCCGGTGGCTGCGATGGAGATAATGGATGACGTGCAGATGGGTGTAATCAACAAAGCCGGATCAACGACCAAAAAGTGGAAAGAATTGCCGACCATGTTCTTCAAGTAAGTTTCCAGAATATTCATTTGACATGTGAAAGCACGAGCTAAGAGCCTCAAACAGATTTTCGGGAACCAAAGCAGGGGTACGTCAGCCCTACGTGTCCTGCAATTACCTAGAGTGGAACTGACTGCATATAGGTACAGGAAAACATTGAGCTGGTCAAGTCCATTTCCAGGAAACACAAGAGCGGAGACTTCGAATTTGCCGTCAGCGCTGAGGAACAGAAGACGCTATGGTCTGCGCGCAAGGAGTCTCTATGGAGCATGCTGGCGCTCCGTCGCGAGGGCGACGAAGTCTGGTCAACAGACGTCGCCGTACCTATCTCCAGGCTACCAGACATCATAGGTACGCTAAGCGAATACAATGTTTTGACAAGTTGCTAACTTTATAATAGAGATCTCCAAGAAGGAGATGGATGACCTCGGTCTCTTCGCCAGTATCCTAGGTCATATCGGAGACGGCAACTTCCACGAAAGCATCATGTACAACAGTAAAGATCCCAAAGAGCGGGCAGCTGTCGAGAAGTGCGTTCATGACATGGTCGACCGTGCGCTTGAGATGGACGGCACATGTACCGGCGAGCATGGCATCGGGCTGGGCAAGAAAGAATCATTGCGGAAGGAACTCGGTCTCGACACCATCAACGTTATGAGAAGCATCAAGGGAGCATTAGACCCGTATTGGCTCATGAACCCAGGGAAGATCATGGACGCTCAGGCGTAGAATTGCATGTCGAGATGGCGCATCGTCTGGAGTTCCTCGACGTACACGCATTGGAGGACGCTTGACTATCGGCGCATCTGCGAAGAGCATATTTAGATTTCTTACCGCCTCACCGTTTAGTGTTGTTCTGGCCTGGTAATAAAAAAGCATTGTTCATAGCCAGACAGTCGGCAAATGAGCGCGTTCAAGACCTCCGTGATCGGCTGGTGTCGCGTTTTCCACCCCACCCCCGCGTCATACCTAGCCAGAACTTTGTGAACTCGATTGACTCAAACTTGCAATACCAACAACCACCACAATGGACGCTGAAAAGTTCACGTCTCAGAGCAAAAACTTCCCCAAGAAGAAGTGCGGTGTGTAGACCATCTCTGGTTGGAAATAGCCGACTGACTCCGTTACAGGTGTGCTCGGCGCGACTGGCTCCGTCGGCCAACGCTTCATCCTCCTTCTTGCGCTACACCCACACTTCGAGCTACACGCCGTTGGAGCCTCTGAGCGATCAGCCGGCAAGAAATACAAAGATGCGGTCAAGTGGAAGCAGGCCCTGCCTTTCTCGGGGCGCATTGGAGAGCTGGTGGTGAAGAAGTGCACACCTGAAGAGTTCAAGGACTGCGACATGGTCTTCTCTGGTCTCGACAGCGATGTTGCCGGAGACGTTGGTAGGCAGTCCACTTCAAATACTTATTGCGATACTAATGCACGACAGAGATGGCCTTCCTCAAGTCTGAACTCGCCGTCTTCTCCAACGCAAAGAACTACCGCCGCGACCCTCTCGTGCCGCTCGTCGTACCCACCGTAAACCTCCCCCATCTCGACGTCATCAAGCACCAACGGCAACACCACAAGCTGGAGAAGGGTTTCCTCGTCTGCAACTCCAACTGCGCAGTCATCGGTCTCGTCATACCCTTCGCAGCGCTACAAGCCAAGTTCGGTCCCATCGACCAGGTCTCGGTCGTCACAATGCAGGCCGTTTCCGGCGCTGGCTACCCCGGTGTAAGCAGCATGGACATCATCGACAACGTCGTGCCTTTCATATCAGGCGAGGAAGACAAGCTCGAGACAGAAGCATCAAAGATCTTGGGGAGCGTCAACGACGACATCACAGGCTTCGTAGATCAGCCCATGAAGGTGTCCGCAGCATGCAACCGCGTGCCAGTACTAGACGGACACACCGCATGCGTATCGCTACGCTTCCAACGCCGTCCACCACCAAGCGCGGAAGAGGTCAAGCAGGCGATGCGCGAGTACGTGTCTGATGCACAGAAGCTGGGTTGCCCGTCTGCACCAGAAAAGGCGATTGTGGTTATGGAGGAGCCAGATAGGCCGCAACCAAGGCTGGACAGGGAGACGGATAGGGGATACGCTGTTAGT